ACCAGAAATCAAACTCTCTGTATAGGCTGAGAATCTTGTGAATGTTCAGGTGACGGATATATTTCTTTCTAATCATCAGGATCCTCCTCTTTATCTGACATTTATAAAAAATAAAAATTCAAATCTTCATAGGACAGTCATGGATTCGATTCCATTAAAGGACAAGTTTTTGTTCATTCGGCAACCTGCTTTATCATCAGAGGAATTGAAAAGGAAATTTATTTCAACATTGATTTTATCTGAATGCAACCAACGCCTCAAGAAAACAATTGAATGTTAAAGGGCTAGTTCACCCCAAAATAAAAATATTGTCATTATTTATTTACCCTCATGTTGTTCTAAACCTGTATGAGTTTCTTTCTTCTGTTGAACATAAAACATTTTGAAGAATGTGAGTATCCAGACAGTTGTTGGGAACCAATAGAACTGTCCCTTTAAGAAAGCCCTTATTGGTCATTAATTTATAAAGATTTTCTCAGCTTTAGGTGTTTGCTGACTTTTCCTGGTGACTTTATGATATGTAGACATACCAACAATAAACAGAAGCAAGCTATGTGCTTAACCACAATAATGTTACACTGTAGTGCACTGGTTATATTTCAATGAGACGCACATTAAAGAAGCATCCAAACTGCAATGTTTAACACACATACACGCACGCACGCACGCTCACTCACTCACTCACACACACACACACACACACACACAATCACACAATCACACAATCACACACACACACACACACATCAGCAGACGGTGTTTGGGCAGATGGGCGGCTGTTAATATGTTATCTGTTTACTAACCCATCGATCTGTGTGTGTGATGGAGTGTTGTGGTTTATTTTCATTTCTGATGGTGTAATTAGATCAGATTCATTTGAGATCATCATGTGTTGGCACTCATGATCACGCAGCGGCCGCACGTGTGCAGTGTTTCATAAAATATATATTTTATATAAAACATCGTTCATAAATCATTTTCATAAACCTAAACATCTAGAACTTTTTTTTTTGGTTTCACTTTTTAAACTTTTTTTACTTCAACAATAATCTGCCATGGGTCTTCTTTAAAATGAGACCAAACTTAATTCTGTGCTCCCTAGCTTCACATTTTTATGACAGTTTTTTGTCATGGACATTTTTGTCCACTATGGACCTATGTGTAACTTTTTTTAATTGGCGCACAAGGGTTAAACATTATAGTTAAACTCCTTCATTACTATCATTTTATGTGCTTAAATTCTTCATTTCACTCATGCATTCGGAAACTGGAAAATTAAACATTTGTATTTATGCTCCTCCATTTACAAATCCGCTCACATGCAGTTTGTACCCATCAGCCTCAGAGTCCACAGAGAAAGACTCGTACAGAGCGTCAACTTTCTTTCCTTCAAAGTCCTCCACATCTACTCTGAGTTTATACTGATGCCTGCGCGTCAGCTGATGAAGAAACTCTAATCCTGTTCAAAACATGAAACTGGTTTATTAATAACTTTAACAACAAATACAAACTGAGTGAATGTTTGAGTCTATTTTGCTTATTATAGTTACTAGAAATCGTGGTGTCATTCACACTGGGGTGCATCTGATAATAAAATATCCTTCTGCAAGATAAAACACATTGAAACACAGCAACACCTGAGAGACACAAACTCAAGATCTGAGTCTGATGATCGACGTCTGACAAAATCACACTCACATTCTCACATACAGAAACTCACAATCATGTTTGTGATCATCGCTTCAGACGTCCAGCTCGGAGGATCAGATGCACCTGAAATACAGTTCAGACAAATACAGTCACATTTGTTAGAACATGAACATGCATTCTGTCATTTTCTGAAGAAAGAAACAGCATTATATATTTTCTGAGACCTGGGTCATTTCCAAAATGACCAGAAATCAAACTCTCTGTATAGGCTGAGAATCTTGTGAATGTTCAGGTGACGGATATATTTCTTTCTAATCATCAGGATCCTCCTCTTTATCTGACATTCACCAAAAAAACTTCTTTATAGGACAGTCATGGGTTGGATTCCATAAAAGGACAATTTTTGTTCATTTTGCAACCTGTTTTATTATCATCTGAGGAATTGAAAAGGAAATTTATTTCAACATTGATTTTATCTGAATGATCAATTTTCTTTCCTTCAAAGTCCTCCACATCTACTCTGAGTTCATACTGATGCCTGCGCGTCAGCTGATGAAGAAACTCTAATCCTGTTCAAAACATGAAACTGGTTTAATAACTTTAACAACAAATACAATCTGCATTTATACTGCAGTCCTTGATTGTTTATTCTTTCACTGTTTGCCTTTTTAAGCCTGAAACGTCTCACAAAAACCCTCACCCGTTTTATTACCGAAACCCTTCTTATAACTCTCCCATGGCCTGAAGAAATTCACCTCGCCGTCCATTCGCCTGAGAAACACCTGAAACATTCAGAAATCATTCATCGCTTTCACACATCATTCATCTTTTAAGAAGATGTTTTGACAAGCTTTGTTGTGTCACAGATGTAAATTCTGTTGTGTGATTTCCAACAAATAAAAGAACTGAGTGAATGTTTGAGTCTATTTTGCTTATTATAGTTACTAGAAATCGTGGTGTCATTCACACTGGGGTGCATCTGATAATAAAATATCCTTCTGCAAGATAAAACACATTGAAACAGCAACACCTGAGAGACACAAACTCAAGATCTGAGTCTGATGATCGACGTCTGACAAAATCACACTCACATTCTCACATACAGAAACTCACAATCATGTTTGTGATCATCGCTTCAGACGTCCAGCTCGGAGGATCAGATGCACCTGAAATACAGTTCAGACAAATACAGTCACATTATTTGAGCATGAACATGCATTCTGTCATTTTCTGAAGAAATAAACTATATTATAGATTTGCTGAGACCTGGATAATGATAAAACTCACTGTATGCGCTCAGAATCTTGTGAATGTTCAGGCGATGGAGGAGTATTTTTATATTTCTGATCATCAGGATCCTCCTCTTTATCTGACATTCACCAAAAAAACTTCTTTATAGGACAGTCATGGGTTGGATTCCATAAAAGGACAATTTTTGTTCATTTTGCAACCTGTTTTATTATCATCTGAGGAATTGAAAAGGAAATTTATTTCAACATTGATTTTATCTGAATGCAACCAACGCCTCAAGAAAACAATTGAATGTTAAAGGGCTAGTTCACCCCAAAATAAAAATATTGTCATTATTTATTTACCCTCATGTTGTTCTAAACCTGTATGAGTTTCTTTCTTCTGTTGAACATAAAACATTTTGAAGAATGTGAGTATCCAGACAGTTGTTGGGAACCAATAGAACTGTCCCTTTAAGAAAGCCCTTATTGGTCATTAATTTATAAAGATTTTCTCAGCTTTAGGTGTTTGCTGACTTTTCCTGGTGACTTTATGATATGTAGACATACCAACAATAAACAGAAGCAAGCTATGTGCTTAACCACAATAATGTTACACTGTAGTGCACTGGTTATATTTCAATGAGACGCACATTAAAGAAGCATCCAAACTGCAATGTTTAACACACATACACGCACGCACGCACGCTCACTCACTCACTCACACACACACACACACACACACACAATCACACAATCACACAATCACACACACACACACACAATCACACACACACACTCGCTCGCTCGCACGCACGCATGCATGCACGCACGCACACACACATTTAGATATTGCTCAATGGTATAAGAGTAAGCTATAATGGATTATTGTAAAAAGAAAACCAATTTGAAAAACATAAAATGGTGAGGTATAGACTTAAAGACAATTCATTGATGATTCAGTGATGTCAGAGACAGAATCTGATAAGATGCTTGAGTAAATGTTTGAAGTTTCTTCAGAGGTTTTGATCCCCAGTGTGGCAATCTGGTACCCAAGATGAAGCTTACAATCACACACACACACTCGCTCGCACGCACGCACGCATGCACGCACGCACACACACATTTAGATATTGCTCAATGGTATAAGAGTAAGCTATAATGGATTATTGTAAAAAGAAAACCAATTTGAAAAACATAAAATGGTGAGGTATAGACTTAAAGACAATTCATTGATGATTCAGTGATGTCAGAGACAGAATCTGATAAGATGCTTGAGTAAATGTTTGAAGTTTCTTCAGAGGTTTTGATCCCCAGTGTGGCAATCTGGTACCCAAGATGAAGCTTGCAGCATCATTTACCCAGCTAACAAACATACTCTAAAAATGTTTTGCTAATGTTCCCATTAAAGGGGTCATATGATGCAATTTAAATTTTTCCTTTCTCTTTGGAGTGTTACAAGCTCTTGGTGCATAAAGAAGATCTGTAAAGTTGCAAACACTAAAGTCTCAAATCCAAAGAGATATTCTTCATAAAAGATAATAACATATCTTAATGTTGTCTAAACATTCAAAAAATCCAGTTTTTAAGTGTTTTTAATTGGTTATGGGAACATTAAGGAAACATTCCATTTGATCATTTTGCAAACAATATGGGATTGTTACTTTTGAATGTTTTATGAACATTCTGAAATGAGTATTGCATTGCTAAATCATGTTTTGACACAGATCGCTGGCGTGATGAACTTGAAGCACTACAATGACTCTACTTTTTCACAACAGATGTTTTGAAATTGTTCCAGTGCCTTGAAATGTTGCAATGTTTGACCTAATGTCCTTCAGTCATGAATTAACAGCTGAAAACACATTAAACACACCTAAACCTGTGCAGTCGCATGCAAGAGTGAAATAACGTCAGTTTTAAGGTCCAATTCGGTCGGTTTAATGGTCTTGTCTGTGTATTTGTCTACAGCTACTGGCATCATTTATTACAAAATATGACTAAAAGTATGTGAACACCCCTTTCTGTTTTTGGGTTTGGCTGTTCTAGTCATTTCTATGAGGATAGAGCATTTCTACGCCATCAAACGGCAATGTCCTATAGAGATCCCTATTAGAACAGCATGGCCAACATCGCGGTCCAGCGGATCAAACGGGAATTTAAAGAGGTCCTTAAAAGCGAAGAGGTGCGTTTAACACCGACACACGCGCGCGCGTCTTACATGACAGCTGTCAATCAATCATGCTTTAATCACGACGCACACATGTGCATTTATTCACGCGAGATGAATCACACACATGCAGCTGATCTGTTTGGACTCGTGCATCGAGATAACGCAGTTTCATGTGTGTTTGATTCGTCAGACGAGCGGTTTGGGGGGATATTATGGGATGTTTGTCCCGTCCAGGCCGAGCCGTGTTGTGTTGCTAACCGAGTCCAAACCCGCCGAACCGAGTCACAACACAGCTCTGGCCTCGAAATGTGCTTATTTAATCGTTTACACGGCGCTTATTGTGTTGAGACAGTGATCTGATGTGTATTCCTGTGTTTTTAATAAAGGCCCGTGAGTGTGTATGTGATTAGCCGCGTGCTAACTGAGCTAACTTAGCTTCATAAACACACACATGTTCTCACGTTTGACATTTAAACTGTGTTTTTGGACTAATTTATATAGGCTGACTGGTTTGTGAACTTTTATTTAAGTTTGCTCGAGATTGTGGTCCGATAGCATCGTGTATAGCATCGAAAGAATCACGGTTATGATCAAATTAAGCGTTATTTTGATTTGTACGAACACGCATTTCGATTAAAATCACCTGTTTAATGTATGTACTGTAAAGAATACGTGCGATAATGTACTAATGTGTGTACTGAGTGTTGTGTGGAACTTTTAACATTACAACTTCAGCACAAATTAAGTGAATTTACCATCTCTCCCTATTTAAATACTCATTAAACTTAAATTATAGGTGCAAAATTGGGTGTAACTCACTGTTACTAAGCTGTCAGTGTGATTTTGTTAAGTTGTCACAGCTGTCACCCACAAATAAAGTGCCTAAATACCATGGTATTACCATCAAAACCAGCATATAAAACGATGTTGTTGTTTTTGTTTACCATTTTTAATGGTAAATACCATATTACATAATCTTTCTGTAGGATGATTTATGGTATAATACCATCTCTGTACCACAAATACAGCATTTTATTTATTTTTTTGCAAGAATTTGTAGTTTTAGCTTTTGGATTTGGGTTTTGGATTTACTGGGTCTGAATTTTGGGCTCCGTTTTGAAGTTTGTGGTCTTGACTTTTGATTTTGTCCAGTTTTTCCATTTAAATTTCAAACGTTACATTTAACGTTAACTAAATTTTAAGTGACTTTCTAGACATTTTCTACTTCTCGTTTTGGCAGAATTCTGTGGAATGGGTTTACGAATGTGAACTGTGTCGGTTGTCGACTAATTGTTCTGACACTTTATTTTCACAGACGAGTAAAAACCAAATCAAGGTGGATTTAGTGGATGAGAATTTCACAGAGCTAAAGGGCGAGATCGCCGGACCGCCAGATACGCCTTATGAAGGTCAGAGAAAAGATGTTATTCTGAACTGCTGACTGTGTGTTTCTGAAAACTACTTATTTTAGACCTGAAATACCATTTCTGATTGCAAAGATATCTGCAGTATTTAGGCTAATATATGCTTTTTGAAGATTTAATTTTCATACCATCTGCAATACACAGAGTCCAAATGTTTTTTCCACATTTGCCAGTGGGCAGAATTGAGCAAATGCACTGTTAAAGTGCTTTTCTTTTTACCATATTTTGCATTCCCTGTTGAAAAAAACCAGCATATGGTGGTTAGGTATGTTTTGACACTAGGATGCTGGTTTATGCTGGTCATGTGCTGGCAAAGGACCAACATAAACCAGCAAAGGACCAGTTTAAACCAGCAAAGGACCAGTTTAAACCAGCAAAGGACCAGTTTAAACCAGCAAAGGACCAGTTTAAACCAGCAAAGGACCAGTTTAAACCAGCAAAGGACCAGTTTAAACCAGCAAAGGACCAGTTTAAACCAGCAAAGGACCAGTTTAAACCAGCAAAGGACCAGTTTAAACCAGCAAAGGACCAGTTTAAACCAGCAAAGGACCAGTTTAAACCAGCAAAGGACCAGTTTAAACCAGCAAAGGACCAGTTTAAACCAGCAAAGGACCAGTTTAAACCAGCAAAGGACCAGTTTAAACCAGCAAAGGACCAGTTTAAACCAGCAAAGGACCAGTTTAAACCAGCAAAGGACCAGTTTAAACCAGCAAAGGACCAGTTTAAACCAGCAAAGGACCAGTTTAAACCAGCAAAGGACCAGTTTAAACCAGCAAAGGACCAGTTTAAACCAGCAAAGGACCAGTTTAAACCAGCAAAGGACCAGTTTAAACCAGCAAAGGACCAGTTTAAACCAGCAAAGGACCAGTTTAAACCAGCAAAGGACCAGTTTAAACCAGCAAAGGACCAGTTTAAACCAGCAAAGGACCAGTTTAAACCAGCAAAGGACCAGTTTAAACCAGCAAAGGACCAGTTTAAACCAGCAAAGGACCAGTTTAAACCAGCAAAGGACCAGTTTAAACCAGCAAAGGACCAGTTTAAACCAGCAAAGGACCAGTTTAAACCAGCAAAGGACCAGTTTAAACCAGCAAAGGACCAGTTTAAACCAGCAAAGGACCAGTTTAAACCAGCAAAGGACCAGTTTAAACCAGCAAAGGACCAGTTTAAACCAGCAAAGGACCAGTTTAAACCAGCAAAGGACCAGTTTAAACCAGCAAAGGACCAGTTTAAACCAGCAAAGGACCAGTTTAAACCAGCAAAGGACCAGTTTAAACCAGCAAAGGACCAGTTTAAACCAGCAAAGGACCAGTTTAAACCAGCAAAGGACCAGTTTAAACCAGCAAAGGACCAGTTTAAACCAGCAAAGGACCAGTTTAAACCAGCAAAGGACCAGTTTAAACCAGCAAAGGACCAGTTTAAACCAGCAAAGGACCAGTTTAAACCAGCAAAGGACCAGTTTAAACCAGCAAAGGACCAGTTTAAACCAGCAAAGGACCAGTTTAAACCAGCAAAGGACCAGTTTAAACCAGCAAAGGACCAGTTTAAACCAGCAAAGGACCAGTTTAAACCAGCAAAGGACCAGTTTAAACCAGCAAAGGACCAGTTTAAACCAGCAAAGGACCAGTTTAAACCAGCAAAGGACCAGTTTAAACCAGCAAAGGACCAGTTTAAACCAGCAAAGGACCAGTTTAAACCAGCAAAGGACCAGTTTAAACCAGCAAAGGACCAGTTTAAACCAGCAAAGGACCAGTTTAAACCAGCAAAGGACCAGTTTAAACCAGCAAAGGACCAGTTTAAACCAGCAAAGGACCAGTTTAAACCAGCAAAGGACCAGTTTAAACCAGCAAAGGACCAGTTTAAACCAGCAAAGGACCAGTTTAAACCAGCAAAGGACCAGTTTAAACCAGCAAAGGACCAGTTTAAACCAGCAAAGGACCAGTTTAAACCAGCAAAGGACCAGTTTAAACCAGCAAAGGACCAGTTTAAACCAGCAAAGGACCAGTTTAAACCAGCAAAGGACCAGTTTAAACCAGCAAAGGACCAGTTTAAACCAGCAAAGGACCAGTTTAAACCAGCAAAGGACCAGTTTAAACCAGCAAAGGACCAGTTTAAACCAGCAAAGGACCAGTTTAAACCAGCAAAGGACCAGTTTAAACCAGCAAAGGACCAGTTTAAACCAGCAAAGGACCAGTTTAAACCAGCAAAGGACCAGTTTAAACCAGCAAAGGACCAGTTTAAACCAGCAAAGGACCAGTTTAAACCAGCAAAGGACCAGTTTAAACCAGCAAAGGACCAGTTTAAACCAGCAAAGGACCAGTTTAAACCAGCAAAGGACCAGTTTAAACCAGCAAAGGACCAGTTTAAACCAGCAAAGGACCAGTTTAAACCAGCAAAGGACCAGTTTAAACCAGCAAAGGACCAGTTTAAACCAGCAAAGGACCAGTTTAAACCAGCAAAGGACCAGTTTAAACCAGCAAAGGACCAGTTTAAACCAGCAAAGGACCAGTTTAAACCAGCAAAGGACCAGTTTAAACCAGCAAAGGACCAGTTTAAACCAGCAAAGGACCAGTTTAAACCAGCAAAGGACCAGTTTAAACCAGCAAAGGACCAGTTTAAACCAGCAAAGGACCAGTTTAAACCAGCAAAGGACCAGTTTAAACCAGCAAAGGACCAGTTTAAACCAGCAAAGGACCAGTTTAAACCAGCAAAGGACCAGTTTAAACCAGCAAAGGACCAGTTTAAACCAGCAAAGGACCAGTTTAAACCAGCAAAGGACCAGTTTAAACCAGCAAAGGACCAGTTTAAACCAGCAAAGGACCAGTTTAAACCAGCAAAGGACCAGTTTAAACCAGCAAAGGACCAGTTTAAACCAGCAAAGGACCAGTTTAAACCAGCAAAGGACCAGTTTAAACCAGCAAAGGACCAGTTTAAACCAGCAAAGGACCAGTTTAAACCAGCAAAGGACCAGTTTAAACCAGCAAAGGACCAGTTTAAACCAGCAAAGGACCAGTTTAAACCAGCAAAGGACCAGTTTAAACCAGCAAAGGACCAGTTTAAACCAGCAAAGGACCAGTTTAAACCAGCAAAGGACCAGTTTAAACCAGCAAAGGACCAGTTTAAACCAGCAAAGGACCAGTTTAAACCAGCAAAGGACCAGTTTAAACCAGCAAAGGACCAGTTTAAACCAGCAAAGGACCAGTTTAAACCAGCAAAGGACCAGTTTAAACCAGCAAAGGACCAGTTTAAACCAGCAAAGGACCAGTTTAAACCAGCAAAGGACCAGTTTAAACCAGCAAAGGACCAGTTTAAACCAGCAAAGGACCAGTTTAAACCAGCAAAGGACCAGTTTAAACCAGCAAAGGACCAGCATAAACCAGCAAAAGACCAGCATAAACCAGCAAAGGACCAGTAACCCAGCGTCAAAACATACCTAACCAGCATATGCTGGTTTTTTCAACAGGGTTATATTTATGAAAAATAAATGTGTTCTATTTGTTCCCTTGACAGTGTGCTTATTCTGGCAAAAGTCTCTCAAAGTTATGAACAAATGTTCTTCAGTAACGTTAATAGAATGTTCCCTTTAATAATGTTCTCAAAATGTTAGCACAATATTATTTATACTTCATTCATGGAGTGTTCTTTCCTGAAACGTTTCAGTTAGATATGTTTTTTAAATGTTACTACTCATTTCAGAATGTTCAGCGATCATTCAAAAGTAGCATTCTCAGAATGTTTGTACAATTATAATATGGAATGTTCCATTAGCACTCACATAACCAAGTAAAAAATTCATAAATAACGATGTTATAATTTAATGTGAATGACCGTTAGCAAAACGTTCTTGGAACATATTTTTGTTAGCTGGGGTATGATGTTGATTTTATATCTTGCTTTGATTTTGGCTCTACTTTCTGTCTTGTTTTGTAGGTGGCAGATTTGAGCTAGAAATTAAAATTCCAGAGACATATCCATTTAATCCTCCAAAGGTGAGTAACGAGACGATGATGTTCAGCCGAGTCCAAATACTGGCCGATCTAGTTAAACTGGGTGTGTTGTTACAGACTCTTGCTCAGAAACATGTGGGGCTGTATTTACATGATTTGTGATATTAGCTAGGGCTGCACGATAAATCAAAATGGAACCGAGATCGCGATTCGACAGAAGCTGTGATTGTCATGCGTATCTTTCAGTGAAGCGCGGTTCTGTGATCAGCAGTAAATCTCCATCCGAAGGCCAGAGAAACTCCAAATACGCCTCGCAGAAGAAACCCAGAAAATGCCTATCGCTGCAGCTGAATAAACAGAAGATTCAACTGCTTTCATTGATTCAACGTGACTAATAAACACGACTACGGCAATATACGGTTCATCTGAGTTCTTCGTATTATTATAATTTTCGTTAAAATAAAGTATATTTATAATGCAATGCCTTCATCGCTGCTTAAATACTATGAAATATGTTGCGTGCCTTATTCTGCGTAAGAAGCCACATCTCACAGAAGGATTTATTTCAAACACTCGACATAGTTTTTGTTAATTTTGAATTCGATTTTATTTTTATATTTTCCGTTTTCACTTTAATCTTAGTTAAATTCGTAGACGTTTTGCTATTTTTATGAATAGTTTAAGCATGCCTGTATAGTTTATAAATCATGTATTAATTTTATTTAGTTTTAGCTATTTTAGTACATCCATTTAAACTAAACAAAAACAAGAAATGTTGCCTTGTTTTTTGTTGTGTGTTTTTGTCATATTTTATTTTATTTGTTTTGTGTCTGCATAGTTTTTATTTATTCATTTTAGCTTATTTAGTTTTAGTTATTTTAGGACATAAAGTTAAAATGAAAATGAGAAATGTTGCCTTGGCAGCTAGATGAAATAAAATAAGTTGAAGTTTCTTTATATTTTATTTTCTATTATTTCAGTAAAAGATTTTTATGGTTTTAGTTTTACTTAACTATAATATCTTTGCTTTAAGTGACATGAATATGTTTGCACAGAAATCACTTCTCATTTTTGTTTGTTTAAAAAACGAAATATGGCAACGATCTGTCTTGACTTGTTCCTAGTTTAAAATTTAGATGAATCAAGAATCATTGTGACGCCCTGAATTGAGACTGAATCAATCCATGAGATCCACCTCTGTTTTTGACTAGTGTGTCTTTTAAATGACAATTAAATAACTGTTGCATTTATCCACTGATGTTTTTCAGGTTCGGTTTATAACGAAGATCTGGCATCCCAACATCAGCTCAGTAACAGGTGCCATTTGTTTGGACATCCTGAAGGACCAGTGGTAAGATCTCACTGAGCGCACAGTAGAGAAGTGAACCGCAGCGAGCGCTGGAGCTGGAGCTGAAGCTGTGTGTGTTTCAGGGCAGCGGCGATGACTCTACGAACAGTCTTACTGTCACTACAGGCTCTTCTGGCCGCCGCTGAACCAGATGATCCGCAGGACGCAGTAGTTGCCAATCAGGTAGATGTTTGGGAATGTGCAACTGATATGGGCTTAAAAATATAGCACGGTATTTATTGCAGTAACGATATCAATGACCATAATTCAGGGAATCCTGTTTCTTTAGAGAAAAGTATTAATTTTCCTATTTTATTTTATACACACATAACGTAACTAGGGATATGCCGGTATCAAATTTTCATGTTGCGATTAATTGCTCATGCTTTTATCACGGTATTGAAATTTTGTTTAAAAAAAAGTGCTAACAGGTTTCATAATTTTTTCTTATAACAAAAATAACTGAACATTTAAATGCAATAAAGCAATACAGAAAATTGTATAAAGTTAAAAGTTTTACACAGATTAAAGTGCAAAAGAACTATAAAGACCAATAAGTATCACTTTACAATAAAACCTCATTAGTTAAGCTGAGTTAATGCATTAACATTCACAATAGCTACATTTGCTACAGAAGTTATTAATCTTTGTTTAAAAAATACAAGTCTTAGTTCATGTTAGCTCATTAAATAACACAGTTGCAACTTTCGATTTTAACAACCTGTTATTAAATATTGTAATTACCTAAGATTAATGAATGTTCAGAAGAATTTTTCATTGGCAGTTTGTTAACTAATGTTAACTAATGAAGCCCTAATGTAAAGTGTGACCGAACAATAAAGAATTAAAACACTTTCAAACAATATC